CCAATCCCAAGCATGTTTCTTAATGATGAGGACTTCTACAAAATGCTGTTGCTGTGTTTCCCCCTGCCCACCTGTCGGCCACCGCTGTGCTCTGCTTGAGTGCTCTGAGATCACCAGGCAACCTCAGTGCTCATTGTGAACATAATTATGTTCTCTGTTTCCACAAGCTTTTCAGAAGGATTTAATAACTGAGTTCTTTGGCCTATTTTGAAAATTACTTTTTATATTACTGGTGATGCACTCCTAACACCCACACCCTTGCTCCCAAATAGTATAATCCCGATGTCCTGTAGGGATGGGCAAGGATTGGTGTGGGGAAGGGTTGCTTATTCTTGCTCTGTTTCTGTTATTTCATAAAAATTATTTTTGGTTAAAACAAAAGAGCCAGTGCTAGTTTCAAGGACAGACAACACTGAATTCTTTGAGAGAAATGATTTCCTAAGGGAGATCATTGGGAAGGTCTTTTTGGTTTTTGGTTTTATAGGATGCACTGATCTAATCGTACCACTCTGTTTCTCACTTGAGGTTGCCTCTTGAGTTTCAGGCTCTGAAATGGTTTTGTTAAATTTGGCTGTCTGGATTCTAAGCGCTCAGTATGGCCCAGAGGCGGAGACACTATGAGGCAGGGCCCCAGCAGTTTTAAAGTGTTTCAGCTCCTCCTGCCTTCTCTGACCCCTGCTATTCCTCCCTTTCCTTTGGAAGGGTTAAAGTGGACAGCATTTCAATTCTTTCCTGACATTCCACTTTCCACATCCATTCTTTATTCACTCTGTGAAAGAGAGGCTGTAATAATCTTGGGTGGCAAGGTAATGTAGACCAGGGCAAACAGGCCGTCAGCTGCTGGGTGAACTGTCACTTGGTAAACAATGGTGGCAGCCCCTGAGCCTTCTTAGCTACAGCTGGGACTCTGCAGAGAACATTTCCATTGTCCAGAGGGAAATGAGGTGGATTACTTGTGTATTACAACAGGCAGTAGTTTCTGTCTACAACTCCCAGAAGATGGAATTATTGCCGCAGTAGCCAGATGACTCCTCCTACTGTCCAGATTGGGTCTATTTAAGAAGGGATTATTAAATCAATAGTAGTTATTGATTTCGGGTTGTTTAAAGGAGATTATCAGTATGATCAAGAGTTTTTATCAATTATACTAAGAAACCATGGCTTTGGGTTTGGTTTTATGTTTGAAGCTAAAACTACTGTCATAGAGGTTTTCATTGAAACATTTCATTTTAATCTTGGTTTACTCTAGTGAATACATGGTGATATCTTGTTATTACTCTAATTTGGTATATAAAATAGGCTCAATTTGTTATCTGTAAGCAAAGGGGAATAGTTGAAAAGATTCATACCACTTTAAGATTTCATTTTATATACAAAATTTGAAGAATATATTTAATTTAAAAACTAGACGAGTTTTTCAGTGAGATAATGATCTAACATTTAAGTATCTGACAGACCCAATGCTAATTCAATATGAAACTTAAGGGCAATTTTTTCTTATTAATTTCTGTGTATTAAAAAAATAGCAATTTTTCATTTTTACTTACTATGTCTAAACTATATCTGCCAGAAACATTATATGTTCTGCTTGATTTGGCTTTCTTAAGCATTTAAACGGCAGACATCTTACAAATTAGAGCATGCTGTCAAAAAATTAATGTAGTTAGTTTGAAAATCATTATCCATCATGACCCTCACTTGAATAATCATAGTTTTTGCTTTCCAAATGTCTGCTGCCAGCTTACATGGTTTATAATTTTCTTTTCTTGTAACTTCTTTTCACTGAACCTGAAAATTGCTTTTTTTCAAGGCTCTATGAAAAGAGTTTAAACACTGGCTTCATCCCATCTCTGAAACAGACTAGTGTTGGGAAGCCATTTATACTTTTAGAATCTCAATTTCCTCATTTTAAAAAGGGGGATATTAATCTCTTTGCTGCACATTGCAGTGTTTTTCTGAGGACCAATTGTGATAATGGATATACTTGCACATTGACGATTGTCAAGCTCTAAATGTTAGCCTGCTTTTGTTGTTTTACACTGACAGTGGGCTTTTAAAAGTGCAATTTAAAGCCTATTATTGTTTCATTTGTCCTGGTTGTTGCAAATAATTTATGGTATTTATTGGAAGGATCGTGTGTTTGGAACCAGACAGCCTGGGTTTGCAATCTAGCTTCCATTTATTATCTGGGACTTCAGATATGTTAACCAGTGTGGGTTTGGTTTTATTGTCTATACAATGGGGGTAATAGGTTCCTAGAAGGATTATTATAGGGTTAGTAATGAAGGTAAAGTGCTTAATAAAGAATGTCTTCTATTCTATAAAGTTAGGTAAAATATGAGTTATAAAAGCAATCATTCAAATACATGCAATTATGGTCTTTCCCTACCTTTGCCTTGGTGCAATTAATATTGGTAATTATTTATGCCAAAAACAGTTAGCTGTTAAATCTGGCGTACTCAATGATTTGAAGGTGTGGATTCCTCCAGCCCTTAAACTGTTTTTTTAGCCTGCATTGATGATTTACGCATCTATGTAACATATCCAGTTTGTATCGAACCATTTTTTATTATTTATCCAGTGACACAAATGCCTTTTAACTGTCCTCAGACACAAGGGTAAAGGTTAGACTCTTTCAAAGTCTGATTCATTATATTCATGGATGGAACCAGGGTGAAACTTGACCTTGATTTTGAGGATACTCTCTTTATCAAAAGAATGGTAAAGCTTTCTGGAGCAGTTGGTCTCCTCCAGCACAGGCTGAGTCAGGGGCACAGCTCCTGCCTACACTGTGTCATCCAAGCCTCAGTGGGGGGATCCAGCGTCAGTTACAACCTCTTTGCCGAAGGTTGGCAAGGACCTTCATGAAATACCTGAGTTCTCCAGGCCTCTGAAGAGCCCAGCCAGTCCATTCTGCTTATGTATGTTCAGTGGAGGCGATTCTCTTGGTTAGGGTAGTGTGGACAGGGTGGGGAGAATCTATAGGCCGGGTCGAAAGAATGAGGTGGCACCTCTGTGCTTTGCGATAGACCACTGCATACAGTTGAGGTTGGCTGAAGAACTGTGTTTGCCGTTTGTACCAATCTGTATTTTTCCTAAAGATTTCCAATTTATTTATTTGTTAGACTTTTGTACTTCATCTTATGCAGGATACAGTACTCTTCGGGAGGTTTCTTTCTGTTGAATTTTTTATCTACCTGAGACTCTGGTATTGGGACAGTCTTGTGCTTCATTATAAGTAAATCCACAGTTTGAAGAACAAATGCAGGATTAGCAAGAGTGGGGACAATCCAGGAGCAAACTGAATGGCAGCATGTGAGCTGACAATTTAGGGTGAAGTTTTGTAGAGATGTTTTTTTTTCTTGAGCCTCAATATTAATTGAACAAAACAAATGGGAATGACTGAGTGTATTCCAATCTGGAGGCATCTAAACCATCAATTATCGAATGAATCAAGAAAATTCCTAGCACGCTTTCCTTAATCTCCCTCTTTCTAAATTGTTCTTTGTTAAAATCTTTTATAATACTTCAGAAGAATTTGTATCTCACATATTGCAGCTATGTCCAGGGGACTGGGAAATTTTTTTATAATTGGGCTGTAGTACTGGAACAAAGCAAAGGTGCAGTTATGTCTGATTTTGGTCATCTCTATGATTTGGTGTTTCTACGTTGCATACTCACGCCACACGTTTATTGAGGGCCTGCTTATGGCTCACACCACTCTGAGTGCTGTGAATGCAGAAGAGGAAGGCACTCAAGGTGTCTGCCCTCGTGGAGCTTACCTTTTAGTGTGGGCGACAGGTGATAAATTGACAGCGATAAGAGGTGGAAGAAAATAGAGCAAGCAAAGGGTGGGAGACTGGGTTTGGAGGGGAGGTGGTCAGCGAATGCACTGTGTGCCCTCCAAATAGAGCCTCACAAAGTGCTGGGAGGAAGGAGCATTTTAAGGAGAGGGCATAACAGGTGACAGGCCTGGAGCAGTTCTCTGCCTCGTGGGATCAGAGAAGAAGGGGACAGCTCAGAGGCCTGGGGAGGCCTTTGAAGAATTTCTGGGTGCGATAGGAGGCCCCTGGAGGGTTGAGTATGGGAGGTGGTCCAAGTTACATATTAAAAGGATAACTCTCTGGGTAGAGAATAGACTGTGGAGGAGGAGAGGGTAAGAGGGGAAGCAGGGGGTCCCAAGTGGTGAACTTAACCTATTTGTGCAGCTGCCCCCTGAGAGGGATGGAGGGTGTGGTCCAGGAAGAGGGCTCCTGGTGTGTTTTGGTGTTGAGCTGACAGCGCCGCATTGGCTGTGGAACGGGAGGGATGGAGGGGAGCCAGGGACAACGCCTGGGTTTTTCCCATATTTAGAGGGTCTTCATATTGACAACAAAGTAAAATGGAGGTGGGAAATAAAAGATAGGCCGGTGGGGAAAAAACAAACCCCGTGTGTATTTGAAACAATGCTAAAGGTTTTATCTTTAGAATTGTGAGACACCTAGTCAGTGCTGAGATGCGTATTGTGGAACAGAATTTTAGGGACATTGGCAGCGGTGTTATGATTCCAGGATAGTTCACAGTTATGATTTCACTAAAGCTTATGTGCTTTGAAGGCAGAATCTGTCCAACTCATCTTTGAACCTGGATTGTGCCTTAGAAATGGAGGTCAGTGTTTGGTTTGAATCTAGAGGTTTAATTATCTGCAGTTACTTCATTTATGACCGTGATTATGTAAGGAAATACTGGAAATGGAATAAATATTGAGAGGTCACAATGAATAATCCAGGCTGGATTTTAGTTTCTGGATCCATAAGATTTGAACAGACATCTGGCGATATTCTCTCATATAAGAATTTCCAGAGGCTCCTGTGCCATATCACACAGGTGTGGCCATAGGCCAATGGTAAGCGTACTGGTAGTTAATATTTAGTATCACGGAGCGGGGGTGGAGGGGAGACATAATCCTTTTTATGATGTATTCGGCTTGTAAATGTACTCCGTCTGGCTTGTGTAGGATGAGTTGGATGAACTCCGGGCTGAAATGGAAGAGATGAGGGACAGTTACTTAGAGGAAGATGTTTACCAGCTGCAGGAGCTTCGGCGAGAACTGGACCGCGCTAATAAAAACTGCCGAATCCTGCAGTACCGCCTCAGGAAAGCCGAGCAAAAAAGCCTGAAAGTGGCAGAGACCGGGCAAGTCGACGGCGAGCTTATCCGAAGCCTGGAACAGGACTTAAAGGTGAGCGAGCGGGGCTGATGGGACGTGCACTTCCAGAAGGAGCTGCTGACGGGGTCGCAGGTCTGAAAATGCAGCCCTTGGGCCCCACTTACCTGTGGTCCTAATGTTCTGTTCATGCCTCTCTCAACAGATTTCAGCATGAACATTTTGTTCACTTTATGAACAAAGGTTCATAGGGTATGTGTAGTGATATGGCTTTGATGGCCCAAGATTTAAATCTGTCATATGAAGTAGAATCTTCAAATTTTAAAAAAAAAGAAAGAAAAGAAATCGTAGTAATAGATCTGTAATAAAAAAGAATTAAAAGCTAGCAATTGGTTTGGCAGTTGTATAGAAATTATACAGAAACTCCTTCTAAAGATCTGAAATATCTTAAAAATCTCTTGATTATTAATTCAGTTATAGTCAAAGACTACTCTTAAGAGTTGGCCATAATCACTTAACATTTTTATTATTTAAGTTTCTAGGATGTAGAAAACCTGAAATTATCAGAACCCAAGTGAGATTTGTATGGTGTAGTGATGATTTAACTGCGGAGAAATAGGGTCATAACTAATTGTTGAAAGTGTCTTTGAGAACCATGGACAGAAGTGGGAAGGAGATGAAGAAATCCTAGACTTGAAACCACTTGCTCTCTCCATGGGTAGCACGGCTCCTCTCATGCCCAATTATCAGATCACTCATCTAAAGATGAACCACGCATAATGTCTTCCTTATTATGGGAGTACTTATGAAACCTCATGTAGCCTTTCATTATGATAACAGGAAAAGAATTATGTCATTCTATCAGATTTATAAAACACTTAGAAACTGTCATTCATGTAATATAAGGGTGATTTATATTTCTTTTGCAAAATCTCTTTCTCATTTCCTTTTAGAGTGTAAAACTGTTTAACTGCTTTTAACATTCAAATATTTTACCACAGTAGACAATTTAAAACTTGACTACATTAAACATCTACTAAAGAATTATTATTAATTTTTTAGCAGATAGGTTTAGTATTACCTTAGGGAATGGAAATATTTGTTGTTTATTATTGTTATTTCTAATTTGTCATTTAAAGCATCTGCACCTGAGCAGAATTATCATTCTTGGTGATATCCTATAAGGAATTAGGGCTATCCGAAGTAGTGTTTTAGTCCAGATAAATGTTGTATTCTTCCTCATAATGTGGACATCACACTTTAAACTAATACCCTCCTTTAAAATAAGTTTGTTAGTATTGCTGAGGTCTTCGCTCTTTGGGGTAATACCATATCACTTAGTGATTCTGCCTCAAAAGTTGTTTGGATGTAGCCTTGGCACACAGGAAGCTTCACATACTGATGATCGTCTCTGCAGGTAGCCAAAGATGTGTCTGTCAGACTGCACCATGAACTTGAAACTGTGGAGGGAAAGCGTGCTAAAGCTGAAGATGAAAACGAAACCCTCCGACAGCAGATGATTGAAGTGGAAATATCCAAACAGGCCCTCCAAAATGAGCTGGAGAGACTGAAAGAGGTAACCTGCCCAGAAATGTATGGGAATTTCTCCTTTGGGTTTAATTGTGAGGAACTTGGGACTCCAAGTGTCCCATTATTATTGTGGTTTAAAGCAGGGGTGGGCAACCTATGGCTTGTATGTGTGGCCTGGGAAGTAAGAATGGTTTTTACATTTCTTATAGCATTGAAAAAGAGTTACCACTATACAAGATAAACTTAAAAAAGCCAGGAAGACTATGTGACAAAGACTGTATGTTGCTTGCAAAAACTTGATATTTGCCCTCTGACCCTTTACAGAAAAGGCTTGTTGAACCCTGGTCTGAAGCTATTTTTAATAATTTCTATTTAAATGAGCTGGCCAAGAATTGTTTTTATGTGTCCAAATGTTGTGTACCATTACTAGAATACAACATTAAGTCTTCTCTTCCAACAAGCTGGGAAATATGTTATGGTTGTCTGTGTAAATAGGTAACGTGTGTATNGTGTAAATAGGTAACGCGTGTATACTAGGTATATCTGTTATTCAGCCAAAATGATTAAAATATAGATTTTTTTAAAATTTCGGGGAGTGANTACTAGGTATATCTGTTATTCAGCCAAAATGATTAAAATATAGATTTTTTAAAAATTTCGGGGAGTGAACACACACACACACACACATATATATATATATATATATACTCATTTGCATACAGTAATGTAAACCCTGTTTAGTTGTTGACTTCTATTATAAGATTAAAGCCGAGAATTTTCTTGGAAAATATTCTGCATATTGATGAAATGGGAAACTGTTGGTGAAGGCTTTAAGATGGTGGTTAAAAATAAAAGATGCTTATTAAAGCCAGCATATGACCTGCTGACAGCCTTACTTAGCAGCTTCGTTTTCCTTTGGCTAACCTTCTTGACTCACCAGCCATTCCCCGTCCATCCACCCAACTTAATTCAGGCCCTGAACTAGGCGCTGGGCGTGCGGATGTGAGTGTGGCAGCACAGGCCCTGCTCTCAAGGTATTTACAGTTCAGTTTGGCTCACGATGACAAAACAAATTTCAGCAAAGGAGCCAGTGCTGCGACCTCTCTGACTCCCCCCCCCCC